TGTGTACTGTACAGTGGTGCTCATAAGTGTATGAACACATTCTAAAGCTGACTAAAAAGAGGAATAAAAAAATAAAAAAATCATCTTTTGGAAATTGATCTTAATGACTTAATTAAAAAAGTTGGAAAATCCAACCTTTAAGGACACCAATTTTCTTTTCTTTTTTATTCCTCTTTTTAGTCAACTTTAGCATGGGATCATAAGCTTATGAGCACCACTGTATACTGTGCTGAACATCCAGGCTATGTGAGACACAAAGGCTAACTTAAACACTAAAGACTTTATGCATCCCTGCCCATTTTAAGTGGAACTGAAGTATTTGTACTATACATGGATACATTGCATACACCTGTGCATCACATAGACAACAATACTGTACAAAGCCAACAAACACATTGGTCTGTTTGCCTTCAGGGACTCCTCTCAACAGCAGCTGCAAGAAGCAACAGGAGCCAAAAGACCCAGAACAGCTTTGAGAGAAGAGGAGAAGCAGAGGCTGTCTGAAGAGGTCTGCAACACCATCCTGGATCACACCAAAGAAAGGTTCTCTTTCTCTGGCCACCTTGTGAGTGCTACCTTACTGCAAGCAGACATGTTTGAAAGGTACTGCCATTCAAAAAAATAAAAAATCTGTTCATGTTCATTTTTACAAATCTATACAATTGGCCAGAATATGGTTGTTCATATTTACAAATCTATACAATTGGCCAGAATATGGTTGTTCATTTTTACAAAGCCATACATATTGTTTATGCAGTGTTGAGGAATGTGAAAGAACACCCTTGATTATTTTTACTGTGATAACTTATTTTGCTTTTGTAAGCCAACACTTTTGAGATCAGTCAATAAATGCTTCTGGTATTGACTTATATGCTGCCCCTGTCTTCATGTTGTTGCTGGACATATCTTTTTAAAAATGTGTGTAGGTCACCTAAATCATCAGAAAAATTGCCCCTCCTGAGAATTTTTTCAGGAGCCGCCACTGGTCTCCTATACACGTGATGTCTACACAATGTGTTACCTGACTGTGTATACGTCACATGTAAAGGAGACAATGTGTTTCCTGACTCTGGTTCCTTTACACGTGATGTCTACACAGAGTCAGGTAACACATTGTCTCCTTTACACGTGATGTCTACACAGTCAGGTAACACATTGGTTCCTTTACACGTGATGTCTACACAGAGTCAGGTAACACATTGGTTACTTTGATATTCTCTTACCTAATTGAAATAAGTACCACCTTGTAACCAACATCAGAGAAGGCATGTTTGCAGCGGGGCGTGGTTTATACAGTGCATTCGGAAAGTATTCAGACCCCATGACTTTCTCTGCATTTTGTTACGTTACGTCGGAATACTTATGTAAATAAGCTATTTTTTCCCTATTTTTTATAAATGTGCAAACATTTCTAAAAACCTGTTTTCATTTTGTCATTATGGGGTATTGTGTGTAGATTGAAATTAACAAAATGTGGAAGGAGGGAAGGGGTCTGAATACTTTCTGAATGCACTGAACTAGATAGCTACTCTACTGGTGCCACAACTTGACTGTAGGGTGTCAGCAAATATGATTAAAAGTTTACCCTACTCATCTATGGCAAAGATACTTATGTTTCCACTTTCATCTGTGTCTGGTGTTAGCTAGTTACTGGCTAGCTAGGTCTTCATCTGTCTGGTGTTAGGTAGTTACTGGCTAGCTAGGTCTTCATCTGTATCTGGTGTTAGCTAGTTACTGGCTAGCTAGGTCTTCATCTGTCTCTGGTGTTAGCTAGTTACTGGCTAGCTAGGTCTTCATCTGTCTGGTGTTAGCTAGTTACTGGCTAGCTAGGTCTTCATCTGTCTGGTGTTAGCTAGTTACTGGCTAGCTAGGTCTTCATCTGTATCTGGTGTTAGCTAGTTACTGGCTAGCTAGGTCTTCATCTGTCTGGTGTTAGCTAGTTACTGGCTAGCTAGGTCTTCATCTGTATCTGCTGTTAGCTAGTTACTGGCTAGCTAGGTCTTCATATGTCTGGTGTTAGCTAGTTACTGGCTAGCTAGGTCTTCATCTGTATCTGGTGTTAGCTAGTTACTGGCTAGCTAGGTCTTCATCTGTATCTGGTGTTAGCTAGTTACTGGCTAGCTAGGTCTTCATCTGTCTGGTGTTAGCTAGTTACTGGCTAGCTAGGTCTTCATCTGTATCTGGTGTTAGCTAGTTACTGGCTATCTAGGTCTTCATCTGTATCTGCTGTTAGCTAGTTACTGGCTAGCTAGGTCTTCATATGTCTGGTGTTAGCTAGTTACTGGCTAGCTAGGTCTTCATCTGTATCTGGTGTTAGCTAGTTACTGGCTAGCTAGGTCTTCATCTGTATCTGGTGTTAGCTAGTTACTGGCTAGCTAGGTCTTCATCTGTCTGGTGTTAGCTAGTTACTGGCTAGCTAGGTCTTCAGCCAGCATGGAACAAAAGGGGCGGAAGGGTCGTTGTCATGTCAACACATCTATCAGTGCTGCTGTAAATTGCATCACAAGAGACATGCCAAACAGGATATGTGTGTGTGTGTATATATTTATATATATATATATATATATACAGTGGCGGCTCCTGAAAAAATTCTCAGGAGGGGCAATTTTTCTGATGATTTAGGTGACCTACACACATTTTTAAAAAGATATGTCCAGCAACAACATGAAGACAGGGGCAGCATATAAGTCAATACCAGAAGCATTTATTGACTGATCTCAAAAGTGTTGGCTTACAAAAGCAAAATAAGTTATCACAGTAAAAATAATCAAGGGTGTTCTTTCACATTCCTCAACACTGCATAAACAATATGTATGGCTTTGTAAAAATGAACAACCATATTCTGGCCAATTGTATAGATTTGTAAATATGAACAACCATATTCTGGCCAATTGTATAGATTTGTAAAAATGAACATGAACAGATTTTTTATTTTTTTGAATGGCAGTACCTTTCAAACATGTCTGCTTGCAGTAAGGTAGCACTCACAAGGTGGCCAGAGAAAGAGAACCTTTCTTTGGTGTGATCCAGGATGGTGTTGCAGACCTCTTCAGACAGCCTCTGCTTCTCCTCTTCTCTCAAAGCTGTTCTGGGTCTTTTGGCTCCTGTTGCTTCTTGCAGCTGCTGTTGAGAGGAGTCCCTGAAGGCAAACAGACCAATGTGTTTGTTGGCTTTGTACAGTATTGTTGTCTATGTGATGCACAGGTGTATGCAATGTATCCATGTATAGTACAAATACTTCAGTTCCACTTAAAATGGGCAGGGATGCATAAAGTCTTTAGTGTTTAAGTTAGCCTTTGTGTCTCACATAGCCTGGATGTTCAGCACAGTATACAGTGGTGCTCATAAGCTTATGATCCCATGCTAAAGTTGACTAAAAAGAGGAATAAAAAAGAAAAGAAAATTGGTGTCCTTAAAGGTTGGATTTTCCAACTTTTTTAATTAAGTCATTAAGATCAATTTCCAAAAGATGATTTTTTTATTTTTTTATTCCTCTTTTTAGTCAGCTTTAGAATGTGTTCATACACTTATGAGCACCACTGTACAGTACACATAGTATATAAAATAAGATAGATTACACCACTGGCCATATATAATGACAATAATGTAATTTCAAACACAAATGCAGTCTCCTTTCATGCATACATTTTCAAATAAAGCTCTGCTTTGAGAAAGATCGAATGATATTGTTTAATCTTTATCTTACCTTATGGCCTGCACACTGCTTGCGAAGCTGTCGAGGGCACGTTTGATAAAGACAGCATCGATGTCCTTATTCTGTAGCTTCTGGTACGGTGGGCTGGTCAAATGAACCCAATGAACCCGTCCGGATGGCTTCAAAACATTCTATGAGGTCGTCTCGATTCTCGTAGACAGTGTTCACGACTCTGCTGTTGCTAACCTCATCGTTGTGGCGGCGGACAGCTAGCCTGTATCCCTCATCCAGTTGAGTGGCAATATTCACTCTCACCAAAGCAGACAATCTCAAACAGCTATCAATGTGGGTCTTTGACAGCTCATTTTTCTTAATCTTTTCTGAAAGATGGTGCATGTCGGTTACACCAGTCGCTGTCCAAGCGTTGCTGTCTGCCGTTCATGGTTACGTTACGTTACGTATGACGAAAGCGCGTAAGTGCAAGCCCTCAGACACCCATAGAGAATGTATTGAAAGCTCAGAAATTTGAAAAAAATATATTTTACATTAGAGGCTATGAGAGACTTCTGGGCGATTTTCAACCTGACTGAAATCGCCCCAAAACGGGCGGGGACATTTGAAGCACGACTTTAGCCTGATTGGACATTTAGTGGCTGGCAGATCAGACGTGAACACTGAACTACTGTTGCCATGATATAATTGATTAGAAAAAAAATCCCTTCCTTTTCCCGTTTGGCAGTGCGTCGCCCATATCGCCCTATTGAACACACCGCCCATGATCACGGGTATTATAAATCAGTGCTTCTCCTACTGATGGAGTTTAATTCCCTATTAAAATAGCCAGCATCAGCTGCGCAGAAGAGAGTAGTGATGGGGTGGTGCTACACCAGACCCCGTCGCCAGACCTCAAGTCATTATGGGGTGGTGCTACACCAGACCCCGTCGCCAGACCTCAAGTCATTATTGGGTGGTGCTACACCAGACCCCGTCGCCAGACCTCAAGTCATTATGGGGTGGTGCTACACCAGACCCCGTCGCCAGACCTCAAGTCATTTTTGGGGGCGCGCCCGGCCTCCTATGGCCCGCCCATAGCGACGGGCGTGTGCTACACTACTGTTCCATTACACACTACTGATTTGAACTGCTCAACTAAGACACTATCCATATTATATTTAAACAGTCATACTTGACATAACATTAATAATTTCTACTGTATTTCCTATTTTGTACATTTTTTAAATTGTATTCATTTAGCAGACGCGCTTATCCAGTGACACACACACACACACGCGAGTGTCCAAGAATTGACTGAACAATGTGTCCATGACTACGAACAGAACAGAAGTACAATTAGAGCAACTGGTTTATTAGAAACCGCATGTTAGAAAAGGAGGTGGACAGTTCATTCTTTATTACACCCATTTAGAGGAAGAAAACTGCACATTCATTAGACATTCTGGGTATGTCCCAATGGCACACTATTCCCTCTATAGTGCACTATTTTAGACAACTCGGAACTTGGACATCTACAACGTCCGAATTCAGTGCGTTCAAGACAACTGGGAACTCTGGAAAAAAAAACAGCTCCGACTGGGAAAATAATCTTTAGATCATCCAACTTTGGGCATCATCCCAGAGCTCCGAATTCTCTGACCTGAAGATCTCACCATCAGGATTTTAAACAGTCTGATATGATTTTTGTTGAGTTCCCAGTTGTCTTGAAGGCACCAAATTAGTGAATAGGGTGCCCTTTCAGACACAGCCATTCTCACAGTTATAATTTAGAGTTTAGATTTCTTCATCATGGACATCATCTTCTCCATCTTGATAGCCAGAGTCATGTCTCCTTTAATCCTCAGCTTCCCTGACATGAAGGCCATGGTGGGCTTTAGTTTGCCTGGAGGGAGAGCACCACAACATGTTACTAGTGAGAGAGAGCACCACAACATGTTACTAATGAGAGAGCACCACAACATGTTACTAATGAGAGAGAGCACCACAACATGTTACTAATGAGAGAGAGCACCACAACATGTTACTAATGAGAGAGAGCACCACAACATGAAGAAAGCAGCACAATGTGTATCACTACTGAGAGAACTATAGTGGCAAAGAAATAATTAATGAGAAAAGCAAACAGGGTCGTGTTCATCAGGCCAACAGAAAACAGAAGAGTCATATACACTAGGAACCACATGTTGCAAAATGGTTTGCTATGGTGAATACGATCCAGGTACTGGCAGGTATTCCCTCCCCGTTTCAGTTCTGTTTTCATCCGTTTCGTGCCTAATGAACGCGACCCAGCTATCCAGTCAGTCACTAACCTGCAAACATCTTGGTGAAGTCAGCACTGTCCATGGTCATGACCACGTCGGCTTTGACTGGGGGCTCTCCGCTACCTGCACTGCCCCCTGCGTTCTTCATGTCAATGAACCATACTCCTGCATGCTCACCTGGAACACACAGACACACGCTACTATAGACTCCCCCTTCACACCAACAAAATGGAGCCCACTGACAGTCCATCAACACAAAACATTAATGACTTTCAGAGTAGCCTGCATTCTCCCCCAAGTGTAATGAAACAAGGGAGTAGAGTAAGTTCCCATTACGGCCACGTTCCCATTACGCCCACGTTCCCATTACGGCCACGTTCCCATTACGGCCACGTACCCATTACGGCCACGTTCCCATTACGGCCACGTACCCATTACGCCCACGTTCCCATTACGGCCACGTACCCTTACGCCCACGTTCCCATTACGCCCACGTTCCCATTACGGCCACGTACCCTTACGCCCACGTTCCCATTACGCCCACGTTCCCATTACGGCCACGTACCCATTACGGCCACGTAGCTACCCATTAAGCCCACTTCCATCTTTGGATTCAAACAAGTAAAAAAATAAACATTTTCTGCTGTTTGAATGTTTCAACCAGTTCATGTGGTTATTACATCCATAACAGTTTTTATTCTAAGCCAATCAGATGTTTTATTATTACGTTATTGACAGTTCTGTGTAAGTTCCCACTACTGGCCAATTTCAAAGCTGCAAAAAAAATAACTTGTGTGGAGGCGACTATCAGATAAACACATTTAATATTTTGAGTACATGCTCAGATACGTTAAGAGATGCATGTGCTGATATGCACCAAATACTAATTAATGCCCATGAAATATGCAATTTCTTGCCAATTGAAAATGTGGGTTTTTCATGCTAGCAGTTGTGCCTGCATGAGAGTCACACAGTAGCTTACATTTTAAAATGCATTTTGTCTTATTTTATACTGTGAATTGATTTGATTAAAATCCCCATTAGCAACAGATGTGTGCATCTATCAGTTCCACATACATGTCAGTACATACACGCAACAAGTAGGTCACATGGGGGAGAGGCGTGGTGCCGTGAGGTGTTGCTTTATTTGTTTTTTGAAACCAGGTTTGCTGTTCACTTGCGCTATATAAGACGGAAGGGAGTTCCATGCACTCATGGGTCTGTATAATACTGTACGTTTCCTTGAATTTGTTCTGGACCTGGGGACTGTGAAAATACCCCTGGTGGCATGTCTGGTGGGGTACATGTGTGAGTCAGTGCTGTGTGTAAGTTGACAATGCAAACAATTTTGAATTTTCAACACAATGTTTCTTATAAAAACAATAAGTGATGCAGTCAGTCTCTCCTCAACTCTTAGCCAAGAGAGACTGGCATGCATAGTATTTACATCAGCCCTCTGATTACAATGAAGAGCAAGACGTGCCGCTCTGTTCTGGGCCAATCGCAGCTTAACTAGGTCTATCCTTGCAGCATTGGATCACACGACTGGAGAATAATCAAGATCAGACTAAACTAGAGTCTGCAGGACTTGCTTTGTGGAGTGTGGTGTCAAAAAAGGAGAGCATCTCTTTATTATGGACAGACCTCTTTACAACCATTGAATCTATATGTTTTGACCATGATAGTTTACAATCTAAGGTAACACCAAGTAATTTAGTCTCCTCAACTTGTTCAACAGCCACACCATTCATTACCAGATTCAGCTGAGGTCTAGAAATTACAGAATGATTTGTACCAAATACAATGCTCTTAGTTTTAGAGATGTTCAGGACCAGTTTATTACTGGCCACCCATTCCAAACAGACTATAACTCTGTTAAGTGACTTAATTAGCTGTGGTTGCTGATACGTATATGGTTGAATCATCAGCATACATGGACACACATGCATTGTTTAATGCCAGTGGCAGGTCATTGGTAAAAATAGAAAAGTAGAGGGCCTAGAGAGCTGCCCTGCGGTACACCACACTGTACGTTTGACATTAGAGAAGCTTCCATTAAAGAAAACCCTTTGAGTTCTATTAGATATTTTAGATTTGGAAAGGCACACACCTGTCTATAAGGTCCCACAGTTGACAGTGCATGTCAGAGCAAAACCCAAGCCATGAGGTCGAAGGAATTGTCCGTAGAGCTCGGAGACAGGATTGTGTTGAAGCACAGATCTGGGGAAGGGTACCAGAAAATGTCTGCAGCATTGAAGGTCCCCAAGAACAGTGGCCTCCATCATTCTTTAAATGGAAGAAGTTTGCAACCACCAAGACTCTTCCTAGAGCTGGCCGCCCAGCCAAACTGAGCAATCGGGGGAGAAGGGCCTTGGTCAGGGAGGTGACCAAGAACCCGATGGTCATTCCGACAGAGCTCTACAGTTCCTCTGTGGAGATGGGAGAACCTTCCAGAATGACAACCATCTCTGCAGCACTTCACCAATCAGGCCTTTATGGTAGAGTAGCCAGACAACTGGTAGAGCACGGTGCTTGTAACGCCAAGGTAGTGGGTTCGATCCCCGGGACCACCCATACACAAAAATGTATGCACGCATGACTGTAAGTCGCTTTGGATAAAAGCGTCTGCTAAATGGCATATTATTATTATAAAAGGTACATGACAGCCCGCTTGGAGTTTGCCAAAAGGCCCCTAAAGGACTCAGACCATGAGAAACAAGATTCTCTAGTCTGAATGGTGCCGGAGGAGATGGCTGCCGTTTTTACAGCCCTCTAACCAATTGTGCTAATATGTGTTTTTTCACATTATTTGTAATTTATTTTGTACATAATGTTTCTGCCACCGTCTCGTCTGGATATCAGGACAGCGATTACTCACCTCATATTGGACGAATATTTTTTTCTTCAACGAGTCGGATGCGAAGTATATTCTACAGACACCCGACAAGGCCCAAATCCCCGTCATTCGCAGGAGAAAGAGATATCGTGGACGTAGGTCGTGGTGCCTTGTAAGGATCCGACGGCGAGCGAGCAAGCTGCCTCTTCCATCAATCCTATTAGCCAACGTTCAATCATTTGAAAACAAATTGGACGACTTAAGATTACGGATATCCTACCAACGGGACATTAAAAACTGTAATATTTTATGTTTCACCGAGTCGTGGCTGAACGACGACATGGATAACATACAGCTAGCGGTCTATACGCTACATCGGCAGGATAGAACGGCTGACTCCGGTAAGACAAGGGGTGGCGGTCTGTGTATATTTGTAAACAACAGCTGGTGCATAACATTTTTCATAGCTGTCTATTTACCACCACTAAGATTGCTTATGGCCTTATACAGCTCATTGAGTGCAAACAGGAAAACGCTCATACAGAGGCAGCGCTCCTAGTGGCCGGGGACTTTAATGCAGGGGAACTTAAATCCTAATTGTTAAATGTGCAACCAGAGGGAAAAAGAACTCTAGACCACCTTTACTCCACACACAGAGATGCGTACAAAGCTCTCCCTCACCCTCCATTTGGCAAATCTGACCATAATTATATCCTCCTGATTCCTGCTTATAAGCAAAAACTAAAGCAGGAAGCACCAGTGACTCGGTTAATAAAAAAAGTGGTCAGATGAAGCAGATGTTAAGCTACAGGACTGTTTTGCTGCACAGACTCCCCAGATACAGGTGTGCCAAGCTTGTAGCGTCATACCCAAGAAGACCTGAGGCTGTAATCGCTGCCAAAGGTGCTTCAACAAAGTACTGAGTAAAAGGTCTGAATACTTATGTTAATGTGATATTTCAGTTTTTTATATTTAATAAATTAGCAAAAACGTTGCTTTGTCATTATGGGGTATTGTGTGTAGATTGATGAGGGGAAAAAACGATTTAATCCATTTTAGAATAAGGCTGTAACGTAACAAAATGTGGAAAAAGTCAAGGGGTCTGAATACTTTCCGAATACACTATAAGTTACTTTGAGCTTGGTGTGATCTGTGCCAGGTGCTGAATCCAGTATCTCAGAAACGGCCGCCCTCCTGGGCTTTTCACGCAAGACAGTTTCTAGGGTTTACCGAGAATGGTGCGACAAACAAAAAACACCCGGTCAGCGGCAGTCCTGTGGGCGAAAACAGCTGGTTGATGAGAGAGGTCGAAGGAGAATGGCAAGAATCATGCAAGCTAACAGGCGGCCCACAAACAGACAAATAACGGCACAGTACAACAGTGGTGTGCAGAACGGCATTTCGGAACGCACAACTCGTCGGTCCTTGTCACGGACGGGCTATTGCAGCAGACGACCACACCGGGTTCCACTCCTATCATCACCTGGAACATGACAGCGAGTTCAGTTTACTTGAGTGGCCTGCACAGTCCCCAGACCTCAACCCAATCGAGTATCTTTGGGATGACATGGAACGGGCTGTTCGCAGCATGAATGTACCGCCGTCCAATCTGCAGCAACTGCCTGATGCCATCGTGTCAGCATGGACCAACATCCCTGTGGAACGTTTCCGACATCTTGTACAATCCATTCCCCGAAGAATTCAGGCTGTTCTGGAGACAAAGAGGGGTCTGACCCGGTACTGGATGTGTGTACCTAATAAACTGTCCGGTGAGTATATTCACTATATGTTCACCATTACAAACAACATTCATACGACGCTGAAAATAAGTTTCTTACCAGACAGGTCGAACTTGTAGACTCCTCCAGTGGATTTCACAATGTCAGGGTTGAGGACTCCCTTGATGATATTGAATGTTTCCGCTATGGGTCCACTGGTGGCCCACGCAGCGCTGGGTTTGTCACCCTTTACCACTGGGATGACAACCTGATCCCCCATGTTCTGCACCAGAGACTCAGCCTCATCCAGGAAGAAGTCCGGGAGCAGTGCATTACCTGTGGTCACACAGAGACACAGCATTACCATAACCACCCGGTACAGCCAGAAGAAGACTGGCCACCCCTCGGAGCCTGGTTGCTCTTTAGGTTTCATCCTAAGTTCCTGCCTTCCAAGCAAGTTTTTCCACTCTGCAGACCAGGCAATTACATTGATAGAAGATACAATCTGCAATATTAAGCTGATCCATTCCCCCAAAAAAAGAGAAAAAAAAAAAGAAAAATAAATAAATAACGAAAACATTAAAAAGATACAAATATCAAAGAAAGAAATTTAAAAAATAAAAAGTTTTTCCACTGTGCTTCTGCATCATTGCTTGGATGGGTATCTGTAAAGCACTTTGTGACAACTGCTGATGTGAAAATGGCTTTATAAAATAAATGTGCTTGATTGATTGATTACCACATCTATGCTCTGTGGACACCATAACCACACCATCTTTAAAATGATCGAGAGTCTAAGATGTTGGGGTGGAGTGGAGGGGAGCTGACATATGGAATTGTTTTAAGATGGTCATATCATGGATCATTTAGATATTTGATTTTGAACTTTATGTATCAAAATAATATATATAAAAAATATTTGATCATATTGAATTTGGCCTTTAGAACCAAATCCCAAATGTTTTGGGTAGGCACAAAACTACCTCCATACTTTCAATCATTTTAAAAACCGGTCCTGGTTACCGTCAGACGAGTCCCGTGACACCTGTGGGGGTCGTAGAACAAGATGGAGACCACCATCGTGTTCGTGAGAGTCGGATCTTTCCATAGAGTGGTTTATAGGCCAAACTGATTTTCGGGACATCTCATGGTCTGACAAACACCTCTGTAGCTCGGTCACCTTCCACTAAAGATGATTGGAAGGCCGCCATAGGCGGATGCGGTGGATTGAGACGCATCCAATGCAAAAACACAGGTATCTCTAGCTTAAACTGACTGATTTAGATGGGGATTTTTAAATTATGTAACTTATATTGACGCACCAGTGCATCAATAGACTCTAGGGAGTTATTAAAATGACACTAGAGATCAAGTGGAAGGACTACTTCATCAGGCTGTTACGTAAAATTCTATGTTTAACCTCACATCACTGTGCACATACAGTTGAAGTCGGAAGTTTACATACACCTTAGCCAAATACATTTAAAAACTCAGTGTTTCACAATTCCTGACATTTAATCCTAGTAAAAATTCCCTGTCTTAGGTCAGTTAGGATCACCACTTTATTTTAAGAATGTGAAATGTCAGAATAATAGTAGAGAGAATGATTTATTTCAGCTTTTATTTCTTTCATCACATTGCCAGTGGGTCAGAAGTTTACATACACTCAATTAGTATTTGGTAGCATTGCCTTTAAATTGTTTAACTTGGGTCAAACGTTTTGGGTAGCCTTCCACAAGCTTCCCACAATAAGTTGGGTGAATTTTGGCCCATTCCTCCTGACAGAGCTGGTGTAACTGAGTCAGGTTTGTAGGCCTCCTTGCTCGCACTTTTTCAGTTCTGCCCACAAATGTTCTATAGGATTGAGGTCAGGGCTTTGTGATGGCCACTCCAATACCTTGACTTTGTCGTCCTTAAAACATTTTGCCACAACTTTGGAAGTATGCTTGGGGTCATTGTCCATTTGGAAGACCCATTTGCGACCAAGCTTTAAATTCCTGACTGATGTCTTGAGATGTTGCTTCAATATATCCACATAATTTTCCTTCCTCATGATGTCATCTATTTTGTGAAGTGCACCAGTCCCTCCTGCAGCAAAGCACCCCCACAGCATGATACTGCCACCCCCGTGTTTCACGGTTGGGATGGTGTTCTTCGGCTTGCAAGGCCCCCCCTTTTTCCTCCAAACATAACGATGGTCATTATGGCCAAACAATTCTATTTGTGTTTCATCAGACCAGAGGACATTTCTCCAAAAGGTATGCTCTTTGTCCCCATGTGCAGTTGCAAACCGTAGTCTGTCTTTTTATGGCGGTTTTGGAGCAGTGGCTTCTTCCTTGCTGAGCGGCCTTTCAGGGTATGTCGATATAGGACTTGTTTTACTGTGGATATAGCTACTTTTGTACCTGTTTCCTCCAGCATCTTCACAAGGTCCTTTGCTGTTCTGGGATTGATTTGCACTTTTCGCACCAAAGTATGTTAATCTCTAGGAGACAGAACGCGTCTCCTTCCTGAGCGGTATGACGGCTGCGTGGTCCCATGGTCTTTATACTTGCGTACTATTGTTTGTACAGATGAACGTGGTACCTTCAGGCGTTTGGAAATTGCTCCCAAGGATGAACCAGACTTGTGGAGGTCTACAATTTTTTTCTGAGGTCTTGTCTGATTTCTTTTGGTTTTCCCATGATGTCAAGCAAAGAGGCACTGAGTTTGAAGGTAGGCCTTGAAATACATCCACAGGCACACCTCCAATTGACTCAAATGATGTCAATTAGCCTATCAGAAGCTTCTAAAGCCATGACATCATTTTCTGGAATTTTCCAAGCTGTTTAAAAGACACAGTCAACTTAGTGTATGTAAACTTCTGACCCACTGGAATTGTGATACAGTGAATTATAAGTGAAATAATCTGTCTGTAAACAATTGTTGGAAAAATTACTTGTGTCATGCACAAAGCCGACTTGCCAAAACTATAGTTTGTTAACAAGAAATGTGTGGAGTGGTTGAAAAACGGGTTTTAATGACTCCGACCTAAGTCTATGTGAACTTCCGACTTTAACTGTACGTCTCCACTAGGTCTACTGTACCTGGAGCCACGGCGTATATGTCGAAGTCTTTAATGCCCTCGGTCTTCAGAATTTCCTCGTCGATGACAAAGTTCCCGGTGTAGCTGGGAGGCTTACTGAAGATGGCGTAGGCTGCGTCTGACATGATGTCAACTTTACGACACTGCTTACCCACATCCGCGCCCCCCAGCATGTCCATAGCAGCAGTCTGGATGGCTGGAGGAGAGGGCGCAACATTCAGGGAAGAAATAAAGTTTTATAATGAGTTTTATTCGATTACTTCAAAATAGATATGTATTGCACATAGGAAGTTATTTAGAAAGCACTGATACGATTCCAGATGACAAAGTGACATTTAACTGACAAACTAGTCTGCTCATGTCTACTCTGGGTCGTTAAAACTGGTTATACGGTGGAATGGCATCGTTCAACACGTACCCGTCTTGGGCCATAAGGCATTGACAGCGATGGACCCTCTGAACTCCTCAGCCATGCCCAGAACACACATGGACATGCCATACTTGGCCATTGTGTATGCTAAAGGGAACCATCAAAAAAAAAGAAGAACAGGTTAAAACACAAGTCGGTGATTTTGAAAACAAGATCTTTCTCGGTGCATAGAAAACATAGAGGGTGAGTCCCAACAATCTCTCCTTTCTCCTGAAGTGTACACTTGTTCACTACATCCCACAAATCTAAAAGCATTGGATTGGTGGAGGCAGGGGGGCTAGAGGGAGTTACCACCATATTTCTTATACCCGCCATTTTCCTTTTAAAATCAGTGAAGGGAAGTGCACACTTTGGGAAGAAGGCCTCAGCCAGACAGCGATGAAGCCTTCCTTACCTGAGTGGTTTTTGAACCAGATGGGGTTAAGGTTAAGCGGTGGGCTGAGGTTGAGGATGTGAGGGTTTTTGCTCTTCAACAGATGTGGGATGCACAGTTTAGACCTGGGAAAACAATTCAGAATGACATTATTCAGAAAGGCTTCTTCAGGAGGGTTCAACCAAGATACAGGCTTCTTCAGGAGGGTTGAACCAATATACAGGTTAAAAATATTAAAAGCATGCTCACGTCAATCTAAAGTCAGAATAAAAAGAAAAAAAGCACAAATACATTGAGACAAAATTAACTTGGAAAAAGACAGAAGTGTTTATTAGTCAAGTTGGAAAAAAAAGTTTATTGCAAAGACATTTTCAACCATTAGGTCTTCATCAGGTTGAAACATTGTCGTCGGATGGAGTTCCGCCTGTGTAACCTGTCGTAACCTGGGAATTGATTTCATGTACTTCAGTGGTGTCCAGATTGACATGGCACACAATTGCTACTGGTTTCCACACAGAGCAAGAAGCATGTCTTCCAAGCAGAAACTACGAAGTTATATGATTGGGGTCCAAGTGCGGCAGTCTTCTCTGCCGTTCCTCCGGTACAGCTAGCCCCTGGTAATCCTCCGGTACAGCTAGCCCCTGGTAATCCTCCGGTACAGCTAGCCCCTGGTAATCCTCCGGTACAGCTAGCCCCTGGTAATCCTGCTGATGATGTCCTTTTACAGGCTATAAGAAGAGCTCAGCTGGAACAGCCAGAGGAGTTAAGGCTGTTGGAATAATCCAGATGTGGTGGACCGAAAAAAAGGAACAATCAAATAACGAAAAATAAAATAAAAAGTAACACAATAAAATAACAATAACGAGGGTATATACAGGAAGTACCAGGTAATAACGAGGCTATATACAGGAAGTACCAGGTAATAACGAGGCTATATACAGGAAGTACCAGGTAATAACGAGGCTATATACAGGAAGTACCAGGTAATAACGAGGCTATATACAGGTACCCAGACAACGTGTGAGGGTACAGGTTAGTCCAGGTAATACGTCCATGTGGGTAGGGGTAAAGAGACTATGGATAATAATAAACAGAGAGTCGCAGTAACGTAGGGGGGGGGGGGGGGGGGGGGGGGGGGGGTCAATGCAAATAGTCCGGGTGGCCATTTGATTAACTGTTTAGGAGTCTTATGGCTTGGGGGTAGAAGCTGTTAAGGAGCCTTTTGGACCTAGATTTGGCACTCCGGTACCGCTTGCCGTGCAACAGCAGAGAGAATAGTCTATGACTAGGGTGGCTGGAATGTGTGACAATTTTTAGGACCTTCCTCTGACAGGAAGCTCGGGCCCCAGTGATGTACTGGGCCGTACCCACTACCCTCTGTAGCGCCTTGAGGTCGGATGCCGAGCAGTTGCCATACCAAGCGGTGATGCAACCAGTCAGGATGCTCTCTATGGTGCAGCTGTCAAACTTTTTGAGGATCTGGGGACCCATGCCAAATATTTTCTGTCTCCTGAGGGGAATAGGCGTTGTCATGCCCTCTTCACGACTGTCTTGGTGTGTTTGGACCATGATAGTTTGTTAGTGATGTGGACGCCAAGGAACTAGAAGCTCTCAACCTGTTCCACTACAGCCCCGTCGATGAGAATGGGGGCGTGCTCGGCCCCCCTTTTCCTGTAGTCCACGATCAGCTCCTTTGTCTTGATCACGTTGAGGGAGAGGTTGTTATCCTGGCACCACACGGCCAGGTCTCTGACCTCCTCTCTATAGGCTGTCTCATCGTTGTCAATGATCAGGCCTACCACCGTCGTGTCGTCTGCAAACTTAATGATGGTGTTGGAGTCATGCGTGGCCAAGCAGTCGTGGGTGAACAGGGAGTACAGGAGGGGACTAAGCACGCACCCCTGAGAGGCCCCCGTGTTGAGGATCAGCGTGGCAGATGTTACAACACCTGGGGGCATGCCATCAGGAAGTCCAGAATCCAGTTGCAGAGGGAGGTGTTTAATCCCAGGGTCCTTAGCTGTGATGAGCTTTGAGGGCACTATGGTGTTGAACGCTGTAATCAATGAATAGCATTCTCACGTAGGTGTTCATTTGGTCCAGGTGGGAAAGGTTAATGTGGAGTGCAAAGGAGATTGCGTAATCTGTGGATCTGTTGGGGCGGTATGCAAATTGTAGTGGGTCTAGGGTTTCTGGGATGATGGTGTTGATGTGAGCCATGTCCAGCCTTTCAAAGCCCTTCATGGCTACAGACGTGAGTGCCACATGGCGGTAGTCATTTAGGCAGGTTACCTTGGCCTTCTTGGGCACAGGGACTATGGTGGTCTGCTTAAAACATGTAGGTATTACAGACTCGGTCAGGGAGAGGTTGAAATTGTTAGTGAAGACACTTGCCAGTTGTTCAGCGCATGCTCCGAGTACGCATCCTGGCAATCCGTCTGGCCTTGCAGCCTTGTGAAAGTTAACCTGTTTAAAAGGTCTTACTCACATCGGATACGGTGAGCGTGATCACACAGTCGTCCGGAACAGCTGGTGCTCTCATGCATGGTTCAGTGTTGCTTGCCTCGAAGTGAGCATTGAAGGCATTTAGTTTGTCTGGTAGGCTCGCGTAACTGGGCAGCTCGCGACAGGGTTTCCGATTGTAATCTTTAATCGTTTGCAAGCCCTGCCACATCCGACGAGCGTCAGAGCCAGTGTAGTAGGATTCGATCTTAGTCCTGTATTGACTCTTTGCCTGTTTGATGGTTCGTCTCAGGGCATAGCGGGATTTCTTATAAGCATCCGGATTAGTGTCCCGCTCCTTGAAAGCGGCAGCTCTAGCCTTTAGCTCAGTGCGGGTGTTGCCTGTAATCCATGGCTTCTGGTTGGGGTATGAGGTCACTGTGGGGACGACATCATCGACGCACTTATTGATGAAGCCAGTGACTGATGTGGTGTACTCCTCAATGCCATCGGATGAATCCCGGAACATATTCCAGTCTGTGATAGCAAAACAGTCCTGTAGCGTAGCATCTGCATCATCGGACCACTTCCGTATTGAGCGAGTCACTGGTACTTCCTGCTTTAGTTTGTGCTTGTAAGCAGGAATCAGGAGGATAGAATTATGGTCACATTTGCCAAATGGAGGGCGAGGGAGAGCTTTGTACACGTCTCTGTGTGTGGAGTAAAGATGGTCTAGAGTTTTTTTGTTGTTGTTGTTCTGGTTGCACGTGACATGCTGGTAGAAATTAGCTAAAATGTATTGATGTTTTTTTAAGTAAAAAGGGTTTAAGTTTCCCTGCATTAAAGTACTAGGAGCGCCGCTTCTGTGTTCATTCATTCAACATTCTCGTTTGCTTATGGCCTTAAAGCTCGTTGAGTGCGGTCTTAGTGCCTGCATCAGTTTGTGGTGGTAAATAGACAGCTACGAAAAAATTGATAAACTCTTGGTAAATAGTGTGGTCTACAGCTTATCATGAGGTATTCTACCTCAGGTGAGAAAACACCTTGAGACTTCCTTAATATTAAATTTTTACATTTTAGTCATTTAGCAGACGCTCTTATCCAGAGCGACTTACAGTTAGTGAGTGCATACATTATTTTATATTTATTTTTCATACTGCCCCCCCGTGGGAATCAAACCCACAACACTTAGAGATCGCGCACCAGCTGTTGTTGACAAAGAGACACAAAAACCACCACCCCTCGTCTCACCGGAGGTTGCGGTTCCGTCTGTCTCACCGGAGGTTGCGGTTCCGTCTTGCTGAAAACCCAGCCAACTGTATATTATCCATGTCCTTGTTCAGCCACGACATAAGATATTACAGTTTAAAATGTCCCATTGGTAGGATATTCTGGAACGGAGCTCATCCAGTTTATTCTCCAGTGATTGCAGGTTCGCCAGACGGACGGATGGTAAAAGGAGGATTATCCACTCGCCGACAAATTCTCACCAAGCACCCCGGATCTGCACCCCTGTATCAGTTTCTCCTCTTCATGCGAATGACGGGATTTGGGCCTGGTCCGGGAGGAGCCGTATATATTTTGCCTTCTGATTCGTTAAAAGAAAAAATATTCGTCCAGTCCAGGGTGAGTAATCGCTGTTCTGATGTTCAGAAGCTATTTTTCAGTCATAGGAGACGGTGGCAGAAACAAAGTAGCAAACGCCGCGAAAAAACACAGAATAGCACAATTGGAGCCCGTAAAACGGCTTCCATCCCCTCCGGCTCCATTGCTACTTCCAGGTCAGTGATCGGGTGTTGCTACGCTCCCATCCGTACTTAAAAGCTGAAAAGTTATTCTCGGCCAAGCTTGCTCCTACGGCAACGACCAGATGGTCCCTCTGAACTACCGAGCGGTGAAGGAGGACACAGGTGAAGATAAGAAGTTTACATACACCTTAGCCAAATATATTTAAAAAGAGAATGATTTATTTCCGCTTTTATTTCTTTCATCACATTCCCAGTGGGTCAGAAGTTTACCATACACTCAATTAGTATTTGGTAGCATTGCTTTTAAATTGTTTAACTTGGGTCAAACGTTCCGGGTAGCCTTCCACAAGCTTCCCACAATAAGTTGGGTGAATTTTGGCCCATTCCTCCTGACAGAGCTGGTGTAACTGAGTCAGGTTTGTAGGCCTCCTTGCTCGCACACGCTTTTTCAGTTCTGCCCACAAATGTTCTATAAGATTTTGGCTGATTTCTTTTGATTTTCCCATGATGTCAAGCAAAGAGGCACTGAGTTTGAAGGTAGGCCTTGAAATATATCCACAGGTACACCTCCAATTGACTATCAGAAGCTTCTAAAGCCATGACATCATTTTCTGGAATTTTCCAAGCTGTTTAAAGGCACAGTCAACTTAGTGTATGTAATCTTCTGACCCACTGGAATTGTGATACAGTGAATTATAAGTGAAATAATCTGTCTGTAAACAATTGTTGGAAAAATTACTTGTGTCATGCACAAAGTAGATGTCCTAACCGACTTGCCAAAACTATAGTTTGTTAACAAGAAATGTGTGGAGTGGTTGAAAAACTAGTTTTAATGACTCCAACCTAAGTGTATGTGAACTTCCGACTTCAACTGTATGTGCGTTGTCCATGTCTCACGCCTTAAGGCTCGTTACCCCTTGGCTGAGGAATTGGAGGAGATTGAGCAGCGTAAGGTCCTGAATATCTTCGAAGAGGAAAGTGATGGAGACTTTTCTCGTATTCCCAGACCCAGAAGTCTCACACTTGAAGGCCCGTTACCCCTCAGCTGAGGAGAGTGAACACCGCAAAGTCATGAATATCTTCGAGGAGGAAAGTGAGGAAACTTTTCTCGGTTTCCCAGACCAATATGTGCCTTCCATGGCATTGGTCGGATTTTCCAGGGGGTGTGTGATGGCCCCAAATTTGTCTGAACCGTCTCAGTGCTTCTCCTCCCAAAGGGGCGCGTCCCCTTTAATTCCCTATTAAATAGCCAGCATCAGCTGCGCAAACGTTGGGGTGCAAAAGAGGAAGTGGTGCAAATGAGGAAGTTTCAACCCTCAGTTCCGAAGCTCCTTTACTCCGTTTGTTTCGTTACATTTAAAAAGTGGGCTTTATAGCCGCGTCGCGAGAGGATCGGATCTACTCATTTATATTGTTGGACTACTTATCTCCGTTGGTCTCCGCCGTGGCCTTTCTCCACTGGAGATCTGTTTTGGCGGATTGGATTGACTGACTGTCCCACTGACTACAAACGGTATTTCATTTGTTTTAACGTGATTTACACCGTGTTGGTTTATGTGTTTAGTTGTAGGTGAAGATTACTGAGATTTCTGATAACCTTTATTGTGTGTGGAACAGGAGTTTATTGCAATCTGATTGTATGAATGAGACCGGTGTTACTTTATGAATGGACAATTGCGTGACTGAGGTCAGTTGGGTTCACTCAACCATTTACCGGTACGGGACATTTACCGGTACGGGACATTTACCGGTACGGGACATTTACCGGTACGGGACATTTACAGGTGAACCTAAGATATTATTTTGATGTTATTGTGTATGATCATTTATTTTGGTAATACAACCAACGCAAAAACAGTTGTTTTGAAGTTATTTCTAATGTTTTGAAGGGTTTATGGAAAGTTTATTTTCCTTGGTGTAGACTTCACTGACATATGTGACCAACTCACAAAATAAAAGGAGAAATCAAACTTTTCTCTGGTAGGCATGACCTACCTGGCACCCCTACTAACCTCAAGTCAAGTCAAAACAGTTACAAGCTGATATCCCTGTATTACAAAGGTAGTCAGCTGATATTTCTGTATTACAAAGGTAGTCAGCTGATATTCCTGTATTACATACAGTGAGGGAAAAAAGTATTTGATCCCCTGCTGATTTTGTACGTTTGCCCACTGACAAAGACATGATCAGTCTATAATTTTAATGGTAGGTTTATTTGAACAGTGAGAGACAGAATAACAACAAAAAAATCCAGAAAAACGCATGTCAAAAATGTTATAAATTGATTTGCATTTTAATGAGGGAAATAAGTATTTGACCCCCTCTCAATCAGAAAGATTTCTGGCTCCCAGGTGTCTTTTATACAGGTAACGAGCTGAGATTAGGAGCACACTCTTAAAGGGAGTGCTCCTAATCTCAGCTTGTTACCTGTATAAAAGACACCTGTCCACAGAAGCAATCAATCAGATTCCAAACTCTCCACCATGGCCAAGACCAAAGAGCTCTCCAAGGATGTCAGGGACAAGATTGTAGACCTACACAAGGCTGGAATGGGCTACAAGACCATCGCCAAGCAGCTTGGTGAGAAGGTGACAACAGTTGGTGCGATTATTCGCAAATGGAAGAAACACAAAATAACTGTCAATCTCCCTCGGCCTGGGGCTCCATGCAAGATCTCACCTCGTGGAGTTGCAATGATCATGAGAACGGTGAGGAATCAGCCCAGAACTACACGGGAGGATCTTGTCAATGATCTCAAGGCAGCTGGGACCATAGTCACCAAGAAAACAATTGGTAACACACTACGCCGTGAAGGACTGAAATCCTGCAGCGCCTTCAAGGTCCCCCTGCTCAAGAAAGCACATATACATGCCCGTCTGAAGTTTGGACATGGAGGTGGAAAGATTATGCTTTGGGGGTGTTTTTCTGCTAAGGGGACAGGACAACTTCACTGCATCAAAGAGACAATGGACGGGGCATGTACCGTCAAATCTTGGGTGAGAATCTCCTTCCCTCAGCCAGGGCATTGAAAATGGGTCGTGGATGGGTATTCCAGCATGACAATGACCCAAAACACACGGCCAAGGCAACAAAGGAGTGGCTCAAGAAGAAGCACATTAAGGTCCTGGAGTGGCCTAGCCAGTCTCCAGACCTTAATCCCATAGAAAATCTGTGGAGGGAGCTGAAGGTTCGAGATGCCAAACGTCAGCCTCGAAACCTTAATGACTTGGAGAAGATCTGCAAAGAGGAGTGGAACAAAATCCCTCCTGAGATGTGTGCAAACCTGGTGGCCAACTACAAGAAACGTCTGACCTCTGTGATTGCCAACAAGGGTTTTGCCACCAAGTACTAAGTCATGTTTTGCAGAGGGGTCAAATACTTATTTCCCTCATTAAAATGCAAATCAATTCATAACATTTTTGACATGCATTTTTCTGGATTTTTTTGTTGCTATTCTGTCTCTCACTGTAGCAAATAAACCTACCATTAAAATTACAGACTGATCATTTCTTTGTCAGTGGGCAAACGTACAAAATCAGCAGGGGATCAAATACTGTTTTTCCCTCACTGTAGGTAGTCAACTGATATTCCTGTATTACAAAGGTACTAAGCTGATATCCACCAGACCCGGTATTCAAACCGGCAATCCCTCCGGTTGCTGGCTCTCTTCTAACCGCTAGGCTACCAATACCAATACTTAAAGAGTTTTCTAGAAGAAATCAAGACTGCAAATAGCACACAATCAAAAGGTTACATAGATGCAGGCCTAGTTGACCCAGCCATCCTGTTTAGTATGTTTTGGCCAATGAACTCACGTCAGATAGGTTCCTCTGAGGTTGACCCCCAGCATAAGGTCCACTTTCTTCATGGGCGTCTCCAGGGTTCCCGTCAGGTTAATGGCACTGGCATTGTTCACCAGGATATCAATACCTGGACACAGACGTATCATGTTAAAGGGACATTTTATTCAGAAATGAAAGTCTGTCAGATGTTTTTCAGACCTCCAAAAGTAGACTAATTTCAAGACGAGATCACGTCCCACGACATATAGATCCAGCTATACACCTAAACCACAATAAATATAAAATATAATAAAATATAAAATATATTAAAATATAAAATATAAGCACAGTTTAATCTCATGGACAGATCTACGTAAACATAACTGGTACAGTAGAATTGGTCAGGAAAGAACAGAACGCGTTGGCTAGCGAGCAGCAGTAGTTCCGATGTTCCGAGTTTTTCGTCACTTATTTAAATTTGGACAAATCACGATTTCGCAGGTATTGGCATATTTTGAATTTGGGAAGGGGATCATTCGGCCTGTAACTTGCAGAGAGGGTGGAGCTCCTGGTTCTAGCAGAACTTAATCCCTTCTAAAAACGTATGGACCCAGAACTTTAATGGAGCAGACAACCAATTACGCAATACTTTAGTTCTGTGTTAACCGATATTAAACACCGTCTAATTGACTGATTATCTTGGTTATTCTGTGCTTATCGTTTCCATTCATTTGGGGCTTGTTGTTGTTGTTGTTGTTGTTGTTGTTGCTCACCTCCAAACATCTGCACGGCCTGTTCCACTGCATCTCCAATCTGCTTCTCATCTCTGACGTCTACGATACAAGGCAACGCTTTGCCTCCCAATGCCTCGACTAGCAACACACACAGGAATAAGCAACACATACCAATGTACTTATTATCACATACTTCAGCAGTCGTGAAGCTCAAGAATGTAAACTGGGATGGACTAAAGGGTGAGAAACATGTCAAAGGACGGTCAAAACTGTGAACATTTTGTGTTTTACATTTACATTTTACATTTTTAGTCATTTAGCAGACGCTCTTATCCAGAGCGACTTACAGTTAGTGAGTGCATAAATTTTTCATACTGGCCCCTCCCGTGGGAATCGATCCCGCAACCCTGGCGTTGCAAGCGCCACGCTCTACCAACTGAGCTACAGGAGGCATTTTAAGCTTAAAGCCATAATAAACAAAAAAAAAAAAAGCTAAAGTCAAGCTGTACTTACTTTCTTCTGCAGCTGTGTAGATGGTTCCAGGTAGTTTGGGGTGGGCCTGTGCGGTTTTAGCGGCTATGACGACATTGGCACCGTCCCTGGCAGCTTTAAGTGCGATGGCTTTCCCAATCCCACGACTTGCCCCTGTAATGAACAGGGTTTGTCCCGCTAGCTTTCTGTAATTCACACACAGCAAAGGAATAGGTTGTTCTGCAGGCTAGGAGGCTAGGCTAGGCTAGGTCCAGGACTGTTGGTTCTGCAGGCTAGGAGGCTAGGCTAGGCTAGGTTCAGGACTGTTGGTTCTGCAGGCTAGGAGGCTAGGTTCAGGACTGTCGCTGCCACTAGATTAGGTTGTTCTGCAGGCTAGGAGGCTAGGTTCAGGACTGTCGCTGCCACTAGATTAGGTTGTTCTGCAGGCTAGGAGGCTAGGTTCAGGACTGTTGCTGCCACTAGATTAGGTTGTTCTGCAGGCTAGGAGGCTAGGTTCAGGACTGTTGCTGCCACTAGTTGTTCTGCAGGCTAGGAGGCTAGGTTCAGGACTGTCGCTGCCACTAGTTGTTCTGCAGGCTAGGAGGCTAGGTTCAGGACTGTCGCTGCCACTAGTTGTTCTGCAGGCTAGGAGGCTAGGTTCAGGACTGTCGCTGCCACTAGATTAGGTTGTTCTGCAGGCTAGGAGGCTTAGGTTCAGGACTGTCGCTGCCACTAGTTGTTCTGCAGGCTAGGAGGCTAGGTTCAGGACTGTCGCTGCCACTAGATTAGGTTGTTCTGCAGGCTAGGAGGCTAGGTTCAGGACTGTTGCTGCCACTAGATTAGGTTGTTCTGCAGGCTAGGAGGCTAGGTTCAGGACTGTCACTGCCACTAGTTGTTCTGCAGGCTAGGAGGCTAGGTTCAGGACTGTTGCTGCCACTAGATTAGGTTGTTCTGCAGGCTAGGAGGCTAGGTTCAGGACTGTTGCTGCCACTAGATTAGGTTGTTCTGCAGGCTAGGAGGCTAGGTTCAGGACTGTCACTGCCACTAGTTGTTCTGCAGGCTAGGAGGCTAGGTTCAGGACTGTTGCTGCCACTAGATTAGGTTGTTCTGCAGGCTAGGAGGCTAGGTTCAGGACTGTCACTGCCACTAGTTGTTCTGCAGGCTAGGAGGCTAGGTTCAGGACTGTCGCTGCCACTAGATTAGGTTGTTCTGCAGGCTAGGAGGCTAGGTTCAGGACTGTCGCTGCCACTAGTTGTTCTGCAGGCTAGGAGGCTAGGTTCAGGACTGTTGCTGCCACTAGATTGTACTACATAGGTCAGGATGTAGGAAATGAGAAGATCAAGCATAAATCCATACGGAACACCTTCCGGGAGGTAATTCCATCCTTGTCTCCTCAATTAGTGAAAGCAACATGTGGAACTCTACCAAGAGTCTACCTGGGTTGGGTTGGGTTCCATATAACTGATTTTAACACAATTCATTCATTCAATTCAAGTTGCCTGAGTGCCAGTCTGTTTACATTTACATGTACATTTTACTCATTTAGCAGACGCTCTTATCCAGAGCGACTTACAGTTAGTGAATACATTATTAATTTTTTTATACTGGCCCCACATGGGAATCGAACCCACAACCCTGGCGTTGCAAACGCCATGCTCTATCAACTGAGCTACATCCCTGCCGGCCATTCCCTCCCCTACCCTGGACGACGCTGGGCCAATTGTGCGCCGCCCATGAGTCTCCCGGTCGCGGCCGGCTGCGACAGAGCCTGGATTCGAACCAGGATCTCTAGTGGCACAGTTAGCACTGTGATGCAGTGCCTTAGACCACTGCGCCACTCAGGAGCTGTTTGCCAAACATAAAAAAAAAAAAAAAAGTGTCTTGACAATGACAGCAAAGGAGCTGGCATGATAGCACAAAGAGATGGTCACTCTGGCTAGAACTCAAGGACCAGGAACAATTTAGCATAATACGACGAGGTCATTCATTCAACGACGAGGAGGTGTTATCAAAGACAGTACAGTATGAAGATGTGCCAAAACTGCTTCTTCAATACAAATCCCCGATCACACTTGTAGGCGATGTCATGGGCGACTTTGGCTACCACTGCTCATGCGCAGAAACACGTTAAGGTCGTCTCTCGCCGAAGTGCGCATGTGCAGGCCCGTCAAATCAAAGACGATATAAAAGTAGTTTTTTGACTAAAATTAAAACGTGTCAGTTTGTCACTTTCACGAGGTTGGAGTAATAACATGTTCAACTGCTTAAGACATTGGGTCGAATCTAGGTTGTGCCTTTAGATTTCGAGAAAATGTACTACTAAGGAATATATATTTTTTAATTCTCTCATTGACTTCTCAAACCCCAAACCCCGGCCTGGTCTGTTTCACTCCAGTGACCTTTACCCTGAATCTCACTCCCTCCCCATCAGATCTTTGTGTGACATGATACAATACCTGCTAAGTTTACAACCAGTCAAATCAATCTCAGTCTAGCTGTTTGAAATACATAGCTAACGTTACATAACTAGTAGGTACACATTGTAACGGTGATATGTACAGGATAAGATCATGCGTGTGAAAGACAAACAGAAAAGTTCACTGTCTGGCTGGCTGGACTGCGTAGCCAGCTGACCTGCTTATAAGCTAACCCTGGTTAACCACATTTCAACACAGCTTGTGCAAAGTTCTGGACAAAAGTATTTCGTAATGCTCGTCATATGTTTTGCTCACAGCTTAGCTAATTAGTTACATGCAAAGTAATCAGCCACCGACTTAATCTACGAAAAGCTTGAAGGAGAAAACTAGACAACTATGTTATGTAGCCAAGAGGCTAACGTTAGCGGGCTAGCTAGCTGACGTTACTTACCCTGTGTTTTGCAACATTCTGAATCGTCAGATTTCTCTGCAGATGTGTTTTTAATGCAGAGTATGTGAACGGACTATTCAATTCAGTTCAGTTCAGGAGCAAGACCGGTTCCAACTTTGCTAAAACTAGCCGGAAACAATGTGTCAAACAGCTGCTGGCCACGGCATGAAAGAGGCAAAGTGGCCTTTACCCCAGTTAGAGATGTTTTCTTCTTCTGCTTCTTCTGCTTCTTCTTCTTCTTGGGTATCATGGAGTTCGCACATGTTTGTTTGTGCATGCCGCCACCTACTGTGCGATAGTGTATGTTCAATCACGGTACATTTGTGATAGAAAAATAAAAAGGAAGGGGAAAATAAATACTTTCCTATCCCTCTGTGCTGACACAAATCTACAACTCACTGGGATCCTCTCAGGATCCCTCACCCTTGACCCATCCTCCTCTACTCTCTTCACTGCCTCAGCATACGACACCTTCTGCACTACTCTGACTCTGGCCACCTCAACCTGCCTCTCTCTCACTGGCCACCTCAACCTGCCTCTCTCTCACTGGCCACCTCAACCTGCCTCTCTCTCACTGGCCACCTCAACCTGCCTCTCTCGCACCGGACACTTCCAATCCCCAGCAACATGGGCACCCCTACAGTTGACACACACACAACTTTATCCACCAAAAGTACACAATCCTACAAAATCCTACAAAATACAAAACATACGTTTTTTTTTTTAACTCCCACTTCTTTAGTCACAGTTCAAATCTCATCCCTACACAGGCTCAGGTGCCTGTGAGAACGAAGCATTTATCGACAGGATTCCTTGTAATTCCTCTGCTGTAAAATCCCTGACTCCCAAAAAACACTCCTTCCTATCTTCTCAGATTTCCTGTCTGTTTGCGCTGCGCAGTTCGATAACCAATGCAATAAACGCTACAAAGTCCACCTTCTTAACAGGCAACATGTCAGGATCCCTCCGTTGACAAGGAACATCATCTGGTGCCTCTACTCCTGCTACCATTGGTTCTTCAACTGCACTCCTTTCTTCCACTCTTCTCACCGCCTCCGGATAGGAGACATTCTGGACACCGCCTCCGTCTCCGTCACCCTAACAGGACACTTCAGAAAAATCGGGTGCATGTTCACCACCACAATTGCAGCATTTAGGCTCAGCGGGCATACGATACTCCTCCCGTCTACATACACTTGACACATGACCAAATTATCTGCATTTATCACACTGCATGGGTTTGGGCACGGAGGCTCTCACAGGGAATCTCATAAAACCCAAATACACGTGAGAAGGGAGAGACTCTTTATCACAAAACATTAGAATGGATGGAGAGGGCTTCCTCACTCCATCCACCATGCGGATCAGTCGCTGTGCACCAACCACTTGATCCAATTCTTCACGTATATCCTTTTCATTTACTTCTAGCGCCACCCAAGAGATAACACCCTTGATAGGCGCCCTGCTTCAAAGATCCACACACGACACATTCCAATCTGATATCTTCTTGAGGCGCAGAGCACGCTCCTTCTGTTCCATAGATACACAAAAAAATGTTAAATAAGCCCACTTTATCTAACGCATCCACAATTTTCATCAAGACTTCAAACGGTTCTCACAAGTAACAACATCGATCCAAAACCTCTGACCAAATAAGAATCAGAACTAGGTTTGGATTTACTAGATTCCACTTCTACTTTACTTCTCATTTTCCTTTTGTATTCTCCTCTCCTCTCCTCTCCTCTCCTCTCCTCTCCTCTCCTCTCCTCTCCTCTCCTCTCCTCTCCTCTCCTCTCCTCTCCTCTCCTCTCCTCTCCTCTCCTCTCCTCTCCTCTCCTCCCCTCCCCTCTCCTCTCCTCTCCTCTCCTCTCCTCTCCTCTCACTCTCACTCTCACTCTCCTCTCTAAAAAAGTAAGTAAGAATTTCAGAATTAATAAAACAGACGAAAATCCAGTGTTTCTATGTCAAACAGTTTTGTTATATTTCAGTCTTCTGTGATGTACATAAAGTGTAATATTGGGATGCAAAGTCAAAATGTAATACATTTCAACTCAATATTGACATGGTACAGGTGTCTTATTTCTTTAAGTCCATAACCATGTGTGTGAGGTGTATACTTTCAAAGTAGATTTGTTTGAGACAACCAAGAATCACTCTGTGTGACCCTGATTTAGCCAACTGCAGTAAAAGGTTTTAAGGAGCCTTTTGGTCCCAGGTTTTAAGGAGCCTTTTGGTCCCAGGTTTTAAGGAGCCTTTTGGTCCCAGGTTTTAAGGAGCCTTTTGGTCCCAGGTTTTAAGGAGCCTTTTGGTCCCAGGTTTTAAGGAGCCTTTTGGTCTCAGGTTTTAAGGAGCCTTTTGGTCCCAGGTTTTAAGGAGCCTTTTGGTCGCTCCGGGCCTTCCTCTGACACTGCCTGGTATAGAGTTCCTGGATGAAGCTCTCGACCGTCTCCACTACAGCCCCGTCGATGTGGCTGGGGGCGCGCTCTGCCTTCCTTTTCCTGTAGTCCACGATCAGCTCCTTTGTCTTGATCACGTTGAGGGAGAGGTTGTTGTCCTGGCACCACACGGCCAGGTCTCTGACCTCCCTATAGGCTGTCTCGTTGTTGTCGGTGATCGGGCCTACCACTGTTGTGTCGTCGGCAAACTTAATGATGGTGTTGGAGTCGTGCCTGGCCATGCAGTCATGAGTGAACAGGGAGTACAGGAGGGGACTGAGCACGCACCCCTGAGGGGCCCCTGTGTTGAGGATCAGCGTGGCAGATGTGTTGTTACCTACCCTTACCACCTGGGGGCGGCCCGTCAGGAAGTCCAGGATCCAGTTGCAGAGGGAGGTGTTTAGTCCCAGGGTCCTTAGCTTAGTGATGAGCTTCGAGGGCACTATGGTGTTGAACGCTGAGCTGTAGTCAATGAATAGCATTCTCACATAGGTGTTCCTTTTGTCCAGGTGTGAAAGGGCAGTGTGGAGTGCGATAGAGATTGCGTTATCTTTGGATCTGTTGGGGTGATATGCAAATTGGAGTGGGTCTAGGGTTTCTGGGATAATGGTGTTGATGTGAGCCATGACCAGCCTTTCAAAGCACTTCATGGCTACAGACGTCAGTGCTACGGGTCGGTAGTCATTTAGGCAGGCTACCTTAGTGTTCTTGGGCACAGAGACTATGGTGGTCTGCTTGAAACATGTTGGTATTACAGACTCAGACAGGGACATGTTGAAAATGTCAGTGAAGACACTTGCCAGTTGGTCAGCGCATGCTCGGAGTACACGTCCTGGTAATCCGTCTGGCCCTGCGGCCTTGTGAATGTTGACCTGTTTAAAGGTCTTACTCACATCGGCTACGGAGAGCGTGATCACACAGTCATCCGGAACAGCTGGTGCTCTCGTGCATGTTTCAGTGTTACTTGCCTCGAAGTGAGCAGAGAAGTAATTTAGCTCGTCTGGTAGGCTCGTGTCACTGGGCAGCTTGCGGCTGTGCTTCCCTTTGTAGTCTGTAATAGTTTGCAAGCCCTGCCACATCCGACGAGCGTCAGAGCCGGTGTAGTACGATTCAATCTTAGTCCTGTATTGACTCTTTGCCTGTTTGATGGTTCGTCGGAGGGCATAGCGGGATTTCTTATAAGCGTCCGGGTTAGAGTCCAGGGAAGATAAGACAATTGAGTTCAACTAGCTAGCTATTTGCCTGCTTTAGGTAGGTAGCTAGCTAACGTTAGCTACCTACCTGTAGATGTTAACTATACTGAACAAAAATATAAACGCAACATGCAACAATTTCAAAGATTTTGCTGAGATACAGATCATATAAGGAAATCAGTCAATTGAAATAAATAAATTAGGCCCTAATCTATGGATTTCACATGACTGGGCAGAGGCGCCCCACTGGGGAGCCAGGCCCAGCCAATCAGAATGAGTTTTGTTTTGTTTTATTTTGAATTGAGAAGCGATGAGAGAAAACAATTGAATTAACGTTTGTGTTTTGTGTCGTTTGTTCTGATGTTTTATTACCATGACTACAAGTATCACTGAAATAATGCTCCCGTAACAGTGCATTTGGAAAGTATTCAGACCCCTTCCCTTTTTCCATATTTTGTTACGTTATAGCCTTATTCTAAAATTGATTAAATAAACAATTTTCAGCATCAATCTAAACACAATACCCCATAATGACAAAGCAAAAACAGGTTTGTAGAAATGTTTGCAAATGTATTACAAATAAAAAAACTGAAATAAAACTGTATTTTTAGAAAGGTTTGAAATTTAAAATAAAAAACAGAAATACCTTATTTACATAAATATTCAGACCCTTTGCTATGAGACTCTAAATTGAGCTCAGGTGCATCCTGTTTCCATTGATCATCCTTGAGATGTTTCTACAACTTGATTGGAGCCCACCTGTGGTAAATTCAATTGATTGGACAGGATTTGGAACGGCACACACCTGTCTATATAAGGTCCCACAGTTGACAGGGCATGTCAGAGCAAAAACCAAGCCATGAGGTTGAAGGAATTGTCCGTAGAGCTCCGAGACAGGATTGTGTCGAAGCACAGATCTGGGGAAGGGTACCAAAAGATGTCTGCAGCATTGAAGGTCCCCAAGAACACATTGGCCTCCATCATTCTTAAATGGAATAAGGTTGGAGCCACCAAGACACTTCCTAGAGCTGGCCGCCCGGCCAAACTGAGCAATCGGGGGAGAAGGGCCTTGGTCAGGGAGGTGACCAAGAACCCGATGGTCACTCTGGCAGAGCTCTCCTGAGTCTCCTGAGTGGGGCAGTGGTCTAAGGCACTGCATCGCAGTGCTAACTGTGCCACTAGAGATCCTGGTTCGAATCCAGGCTCTGTCGCAGCCGACCGGGAGACTCATGGGCGGCGCACAATTGGCCCAGCGTCGTCCAGGGTAGGGGAGGGAATGGCCGGCAGGGATGTAGCTCAGTTGATAGAGCATGGCGTTTGCAACGCCAGGGTTGTGGTTTCGATTCCCACGGGGGGCCAGTATAATTTTTTTTTATATATATGTATTCACTAACTGTAAGTCGCTCTGGATAAGAGCGTCTGCTAAATGACGTAAATGTAAATGTAAATGTCTCTAGAGTTCCTCTGTGGAGATGGGAGAACCTTCCAGAAGTACAACCATCTCTGCAGCACTCCACCAATCAGGCCTTTATGTTAGAGTGGCCAGACGGAAGCCACTCCTCAGTAAAAGGCACATGACAGCCCGCTTGGAGTTTGCCAAAAGTCACCTAAAGACTCTCAGACCATGAGAAACAAGTTCTCTGTTCTGATGAAACCAAGATTGAACTATTTGGCCTGAATGCCAAGCGTCACGTCTGCAGGAAACCTGGCACCAT